AAATACTTCAGAGAGTATACTCACAGAAGCCTTAAATCATCCCACCTCTTTATTCCTTTATAAAACTATGTATACTCCTAAGAGAGACACAGTGATAGAGGGAACACAAGCAGGTGGAGTGGGAGAGGGAGAAGCAGGCTTCCCAAGCAGCAGGGAGCCGGATGCGGGGCTTCATGCAGGGCTCTATCCCAGGACCTTGGGATCATGACTTGAGCCGAAGGCAGATGCTTAACGACTGAGCCACCCATGCGCCCTTGTTTTTATTCTTAAGGGAATCATCCATTTCCTTTCAAACTTAAGAATCCTGTAGGGAATAATGGGCATTTAATTAATCTTTTATGTGAGGTTGCTTACTGTGTTTTAGACAAGTAGTATGAGGCCTAGGGAGAGAATATGGCTTGCCAAATTTTTACATATCTAGTTATTTGCTTTTCAAATTCCATGTAGTTTTCTTAAGATAATTCTCTCCCTTACCTACCTAACATATAAAAGATTGAGTAATTATCTAGTGATGCTAAAATCTAGTGATGTTGGGGCGCCTGACTGACTCACTCGGAAGAGTGTATGACTCTTGATCTCGGGGTTGTAAGTTCGAGCCCCACATTGGGTGTAGAGATAACTTAAATGAATACATTTTATTATTTTTTTTTAAAGATTTTATTTATTTGACAGAGAGAGACACAGCGTGAGAGGGAACACAAGCAGGGGGGGTGGGAGCGGGGGGAGAAGCAGGCTCCCCACAGAGCAGGGAGCCCCATGCGGGACTCGATCCCAGGACCCTGGGATCATGACCTGAGCTGAAGGCAGTCGTTTAACCAACTGAGCCACCCAGGCGCCCTAAATGAATACATTTTAAAAATAATACCTATTGATGTTAAAAGGCATTTATTAAGTATCTGATAGCAGATGGTGCTGGCTAAGTCTTGAATTGAGAACTTTCTACACATCCAGTCTTGACCCTCTAGCTTGAGCAACAGTAGGCCTTAGAATGTGGTTTTGGATTCCTTGCATGAAGCTGGTAGACACAGGACACACAAGGGAGTATTGATGAACTTATATATTAGAGCCCACTAAGAAAAGTCTTGCTAAAAGATTATTAAAAATAATGTCCTATGTTGTGGCAAAGTAGTAATAGCTATTATAATTTGCATTCATGTGATGCTGTATAACCTGTAAAATATCCTTAAATATATTACCTTTTTTTTTATTTTTTAATTTTTAATTTTTTTAAAAGATTTTATTTATTTAACAGAGAGATAGCGAGAGCAGGAACACAAGCAGGGCGAGTGGGAGAGGGAGAAGCAGGCTTCCTGCCAAGCAGGGAGCCCGATGCAGGACTCGATCCCAGGACCCTGGGATCATGACCTGAGCCGAAGGCAGACGCTTAACGACTGAGCCACCCAGACGCCCTATATTACCTTCTTTTATCTGTTCAACTCACTCTTCGGAAAGATCTTATTAGTTCATTGTTTTGCTGAAGATATGGCCTGAACTTCTTTTTTTTTTTTTTTAAGAATTTATTTATTTTTTTGACAGAGAGAGACCTAGCGAGAGCAGGAACACAAGCAGGGGGAGTGGGAGAGGAGAAGCAGGTTTCCCGCGGAGCAGGGAGCCCGATGCGGGGCTCGATCCCAGGACTCCGGGATCATGACCTGAGCCGAAGGCAGACGCTTAACGACTGAGCCACCCAGGCGCCCTGGCCTGAACTTCTTAAGACCTCATTTTAGCCAGAAAGTGGCAGAGTTGGCACACAATTCACTTAACTCCTAAACTTAGCTAGAAATACATTTCTGTTGATGTAAGTTGATTAGATTAAAACAGAGTAATGCTTAGCTTCTCTGGAAGAAAATAACTATCTCTTTTTCTTTACTACTTGATGTTTTAAGATACTAAATGGATTTATGTGACAGAGAAGCTGGGATATTTGAGGGAGGAGGGCACTTGAAAGTAATTGTTCTGCATTTTAGGATAAGGTAACCTCGCTCTCTTTTCTGAAGGTATAGTTGTGTAAATATTTGTTGCAGAGCTTAAAAGTTGAAGGACTATGGAAAGTGTTTATTTTATATATTAGAATACTGTTGTAAAGAACTTGGACAGCATTTCTTAGGCAGAGCTCTGTTGGTTACATTGGCTTTTATCTATGTAATGTATTTCAGAAATTTAAAAATACATAATGTACTTTAATATTCATCTGTAGGATTGTTTTTGTTGTATAATTGAATAGATGAGTAGATTATACTTGCTAATGAAACTTATAGCTTTTATTTATTTTAAAAAGGTTTTATTATTTGAGAGAGAGAGAGACAGAGAAAACACGAGCAGGGAGGGTGGGGGACAAGCAGACTCTGCCCTGAGTGCAGAGCTTGACATGTGGCTTGATCCCAGGACCCTAAGATCCTGACCTGAGGCAAAACCAAGAGTTGGGTGCTTAACCAACTGAGCCATCCAGGTGCCCCAATTTATAAGTTTCAGTGAGAATATTTTCCCTAGGGCTCTTTATTACTTTTTGCACTTAAAATAGATTACATGATAAGCTCACAACAAAGTTAGGCATTTGAAGGATGGCTTATTTATGAGAATAGTAACAACATGTATTCTCCCTTATTGTAGGTGAAATGGGAGTTATTACTCCCATTCACTTTTATTAAAGTGAAACTTGAAGTAGTTTTTAAAAATAGGAATACTAACACTGTTCACATAAACTTTTTAAGTCAGAAAGATATTTATTATATAAAACAATTAGAAACAGCCTAAATAAATTTTGTGACATTAAGACAGCAGAATGCTCTGCAGTTATGAAAGTGATGTGTGGGGTGCCAGGGGGCTCGGTTGGTGAAGCATCAACTCTTAATTTCTGCTTAGGTCGCGATCTTGGTATTTTGAGGTGGAGCCCAGGGCTCCTGCTGGGTGTGGAGCCTGCTTAGGATTCTCTCTTTCCCTCTCCCTCTGTCCCACCTACCCCCCACCTCCCTCTCTTAAGGAAAAAAAAAAAAAAAAAGTCATGTAATACAACATTTAATGACATCTCACAGACCTTTGTTGTAGCTAAGCATACTAAGTACTCCCATAAGCTATTTATTAGGAAATATTTCCTTCAGTAATGCTGTAAAGTAATCTAGGTCAGTGGCTTCCCTCTTTGAGGGAAATGGAAGCCCTCAGGGAAACTCCCAAAGTTAGGGGTCTTGCCTGAGCTCTGAAGAGCTAGTTTACCCAGGGCAGTCTCCAGACTCCGCTACCACTGCTCTTTCCACTTGTTAGTAAAAGTAGTGGTGGTATTTTTTCTGGTTTGGTTTTAGACTTGGTTTTGCTTCTATCCTTTTTAAGGTATCAGATGTCAGAGTTAGCTTTTAATTTTTAGCTTTTCAGTATTTTAGGATTAGCGATTGGTACTTCTGAGATAATGAAAACTGTAGTTCCTTGCCTTCCGTTGGGAAAAGTCTAAGAATAAAACAGGTATTAGATGCCTTCTAAAGGTAAGTAAATATAAATCTAACAAGTTAAATTATGTTTAAACCCATTGGGTAGTATTAAGAATTGTGCATTGAATTTATGTAATCATCCCTTTGCCGGTACTTAATGGCTTGTTAGTTGAGATCTGTTATTGGCTTTTCTTAAACGTAAGTGCACTTTTTAAGTACTTTTATTGTTTGGCATAAACATTTTGCCAGAGTTTTTCTACCACTAAGTGCTGGGAGAATTAATCATAATACCGATTTGAATCATATTTTCATCTCTCATTTAGAAAGGTTAACAAAAAATGTTTCTGATAAAAATTAAAGATAGTAAAAATGAATTCCCCAAGTACAAAATGGATAGGAAGTTTGAGGTTTGCTGCTCACTGATATGCTTATGCATAAGCCACTATAGCCACTTAGGCACCAGAGCCACTGTTAAAAAAGAAAAAAAAATCTTTGAAGTTATATGGTGTTTAGGATTAGGAGAAAGATTGGAAAGCAGAAATAGCAAAAGAAACCTGACCCTGAGACGGGTTTCTCGACCGAGCTGGCATGCCTTATGGGCAGCCTTACCCCAGAGAAATACATTGCCAGAATGTTGTCATTTATTGTGTTATACTCTTTATTTTTTTTTTAAGGTTTTAATTTATTTGTTTGAGAGAGAGCGTGCATAAGCAGAGGGAGAGGGAGAAGCAGACTCCCCGCTGAGCAGGGAGCCGGTGGGGAGCTTGATTCTAGGACCCTGGGATCATGATCTGAGCCGAAGGCAGACGCTTAACTGACTGAGCCATCCAGGCGCTCCCTGTGTTATACTGTTTTGATTCTACTAAATAAATTTCAATTTAAGGATTTTTATTTGCAGAACCAATAATATTTCTGAGAAGATTTGGCTGAATCATTTAATTCTGAATTGATCTAGTTGCTTAACACTGTTGAAATCTCTTGAATTAATTTTAACAATTTTTAGGGACTTGAATGACTAGGGAGAGGTTACTAAAAGTCAAGGGAGCTCTATGCTAAAAAGCCTGGGTGGCTCAGATGGTTAAGCGTCTGCCTTCGGCTCAGGTCGTGATCTCAGGGTCCTGGGATCGAGTCCCGCATCGGGTTCCCTGCTCAGTGCAGAGCCTGCTTCTCCCTCTCCCTCTGCCACTCCCTCTGCTTGTGCTCTTCTGTCTATCTCTCTGTCAAATAAATAAATAAAATCTTTAAAAAAAAAGCCTGGGTGGCTCAGTCAATTGAGCGTCTGACTCTTGATTTCGGCTCAGGTCACGATCCTCAGAGTAGTGAGATTGAGCCCAATGCAGGGCCCCGGGCTGGGTGTGGAGTGCCTGCTTAGGATTCTCTCCCTCTCCTCGCCATGTAAAAACAAAAAAGGTGGAAGGGGAAATGTCAAATATGTAAACATTCATTAATTTATTTAACATTACTGTAGTGATTTTAAGATTGATTCCGTATTCTTAATTAGCCAGATGTTCCTGTTATTTGTTAACTTTTACGTTGATGTCACTTACCTTTTTATCCTTGACTTATTTTTAATTTTTACAGATAAAATGGAGAATTTTAGTGAAGAATATGAAAAGAATAGTCACCATATTTACAAAAATGCTGAAGATAGTACTAAGAAACCCAATGCAGAAACAACTGTAGCTTCTGGATACAAAGCTGATGAAATCAAGGAAACAAATGATACTTGGAACTCCCAACTTGGAAAAAGGTCAGAATCTCCATCAGAAATATCTCCCATTAAGGGATCTGTAAGAACTGGTTTGTATGAATGGGATAATGATTTTGAAGATATCAGATCAGAAGATTGTATTTTAAGTTTGGATAGTGATCCTCTTTTGGAGATGAAGGATGAGGATTTTAAAAACCGGTTGGAAAATCTAAATGAAGTAATTGAGGAAGACATCGTGCAAAGTGTTCTTAGGCCAAGCAACTGTAGGACGTACTGTAGGGCCAATAAAGCAAAATCCTCACAAGGAGCATCAAATTTTGATAAGCTAATGGACGGCACCAGTCAGGCCTTAGCCAAAGCAAACAGTGAATCAAATAAAGATGGCCTGAATCAGGCAAAGAAAGGCAGTGTAAGTTCTGGGACCAGTTTCAGAGGGACGGTTGGACGGACTAGAGATTACACTGTTTTACATCCATCTTGCTTGTCAGTTTGTAATGTTACCATACAGGATACTATGGAACGTAGCATGGATGAGTTCACTGCATCAACCCCTGCAGATTTGGGAGAAGCTGGCCGTCTAAGAAAAAAGGCAGATATTGCGACTTCTAAGACCACTACTAGATTTCGACCTAGTAATACTAAATCTAAAAAGGATGTTAAACTTGAATTTTTTGGTTTTGAAGATCATGATGAGACAGGAGGTGATGAAGGAGGTTCTGGGAGTTCTAATTACAAAATTAAGTATTTTGGCTTTGATGATCTCAGTGAAAGTGAAGATGATGATGAAGATGACTGTCAAGTGGAAAGAAAGACAAGCAAAAAAAGAACTAAAACAGCTCCATCCCCCTCCTTACAGCCTCCTCCTGAAAGCAATGATAATTCCCAGGACAGTCAGTCTAGTGCTAATAATGCAGGTAAGACTTTAAAAAAAATTATAAGTAAATGCTTTTCAGGTTTAAATCAGTGGCTACTTAGTTTCTGCCTAGATACTTAATTTTAACTTGTTATGTTCAATTTTAATAGAAGTACTGTGTAGGACCATAGATTACATTATCCAGAGGTACAGCATTTTAAATGTTAATAATTAAGTTCCACATTGTAAGGATCAATTTATAGATTGGAGTCTTTACATATTTGTGTTTTCATTCTGTTGTTAGCACTTGAGAATTTTAAGTGTGTGTATAGGGGTACTAGACATCTTGATGTTTCAACTTTGAAAATCTAAATGCAATGGAGACTTTGGGTAGATTTTGGACATTTAGGACTACACTGATAATAGATGGTTTGTAATGAGGGAAAAATTAGAAAATTAAAATTGATAAAAAGCCTTTGTAGTTGGCTCAAAACTGATCACCTAACAAATGTTTAAAGCATTCTCAAGAAATCTTAAGTTTAAGTCTTAATCTTAAAAATCATCTTCTTGAGTTGATTTAATAAAATTGAAAAGGGCTAGTTAAGTATTTATTCCCTCTTAACGGTGAAATTTAATTTGTCTCTTAGATTGTAGGGCCAGTAATGACTAGAGGCTCTCAAGGAGTTGATAGTCTACTGTGAGAGACAAACAAAAGAAGTAGGTTAGCTTTGCTATAATTAAGTCATTACCTGACAAGGGCTTTGTGAAGTGGATTGATTGATGAGTGAGGAAGAGTAAGTGAAAGCCTCTGGGATACAGGGGCTATATTTATATGTATTTAACCAAATACATAGTTTTTCTGTATTGGTTTACTTACTAAATAAAGCTTTTGTCCTATTAAGTCATACAAGATGTCATTATGGTGAATTAGAATTCTGGTAGTATTCTTACATATAGATTCCCTTGTACACTGTAAGTCATACTTGAGACTACTGACCATTTTATTATATTTGGCCTAAAAATAGTTTTGTTAGGTTAGAGTCACTCTTCAAAACTAGAATTATATGGGAATAGTCCCTAAGGGCTCACTCCTTACTCCCCACTGCAAAAATAAATAAAATAAGGGTATTGTCAGAATTCATCTAATGCTGTCTGGAATCTCTTCTGGAGAATTGAAGTTTGCAGCAGCCTTGCTAGTCACATGAGATCTGACTGGGCAGATAGCTTTACAGTTGCTTTCTCTGGAGGATAATAAGTAATGATGCACAAAACCTGAGCTCCTGTCTCCCTGAAGTTTACTTAGCTCTTACTACTAACCTAGATATCAAGTTATCTTAATCAGCAATACAAAATCTGTGGCAGAAATTTACATTTTGAGGTAACATAACTTTTTAAGCACTGAAATGTGAAATCATTAGGCTCCCTTTCAAAAAATTCTTGTTGATACCAAATAAAATTTAAAAATTAGAGACCATTTGATTGATATAGCCAAAGTTGGAATTTGGGTCTTCATATGATGTATGAAATAGCAAATATTTTTAAGGGTTGGGCTAGTAAAAAGCTTTCCTGTTTTTCTTTTTTTGTTTAGGCTAGAAAAAGTACAACCATTTAGCAGTTAATCTAATTCTTCGGTTATTTTTGTATGAAGACTCACAAATCATTGAGCTACATTGTACTAGGTCATTTTCTATCTTTTGCCATGAATAGCTGTCTTTTTTTTTTCTTTTTTTGTTTTTTTTTAATGTGGTTTTTGTAGATGTAAGCAGGCATTCTTTGAAGGCCAGCATAATTCAGTATACTTAAGTTCTAGAAAAATGTTAAAGGTGGATACCACCTGATTGTGTGTGTCTGTGTTTAAACTAGACCATTCTAATATCAGTGTCCATAGATACCCAACAGTTGTTTTACTAAAGAATTGATTTTGCCATTTACACAAAATAAAACTGAAGCACATACACAGTAACTAGGTTTCTGATTCTCTCCTAGAGTAGGGAGCAAGCAGGAGGGTGAGAATGGCAAAATGAAACTTTATACTGTTAGGAATATTTTGTCAACTGAGTGGTGCTTTTATTCCTTTTATTCTTTTCCCCCACAATATGCCACACCCCCAAATGTTCATAGGTTGTTTCGTAGATAATTTGAAGTATTAGAAAGCTAGCTAGTTTTGATTACCATTTCAGAAAACTTGGATTTTACAGAGGACTTGCCTGGTGTGCCTGAAAGTGTGAAGAAGCCCCCAAATAAACAAGGAGATAAATCAAAAGAAAACACCAGAAAGATTTTTAGTGGTCCCAAACGGGTAAGTAAAGCATTGTCAGTGCTTTGTATTACTTATTTTTATTGGAGGGTGCAACTCTAACTTTTTTATTTGAAAATTACTAACAAATTTTTCTTTTAAAGGATGTAAGTCAATTTTTTAAGCATTGTAACCATTTTTTGAAGTGTGCAAAAATATGCCTAACATAATTTTTATTATATGTACAGTTCAGTAACATTAAATACATTCACAGTATTTTGTAACCATCACATTATCTATATCCAAAACATTTAATCATTTCCAGCAAAAACTCTGTACCCTTTGAACAATAACTCCCCCTTTGTCCTCCTAGCCCCAACTCCTGGTAAACACTGTTCTATTTGTCTCTATGAATTTGCCTGTTCTGGTTACCTCATATAAGTGGAATCATACAATACTTACCTATTTGTGTCTGGCTTATTTCACTAAGAATAATATTGTCAGGCTCCATCTGTATTACAGCACATATCAAAATTTCATTCCTTTTTTATGGCCGAAATACATTACATTGTGTGTATATACTATATTTGTTGTTGTTCAGGGGTATTTTATTGATGAGAAGACCAGACTCTGCCATCCACTGGTACAACTCCTCTATTAGGTGGTATAAATATATTGAAAGTTACTGTTTGTATTAGTTTAAGCCATAAACTGGCTGACTTAAAGCATACTTATTCTGTTACAGTTCTGCATTCCAGAAATCCAAGTCAAGATGTTGGGAAGGCTGTGCTTTCTCAAAGCCTCTAGGGGGAAATCTTTTCTTGCCTCTTCCAGTTTCTGGTGGCTCCAGGTGTTCTCTGGCTTGTGCTGCATAACTTGCAGTGTCTGCCTCTGTACATGGCCTTCTCTCTCTTTCCCTGTGTCTTCTTTTAGAAGGACACTTTGTGTATATCACATTTTGTTTATTCATCATTAGGGTTGTTTTCACCTTTTGGCTATTTGAGTCCCTGCTTTCAGTACTTTTGGATATCTACCTAAGAGTAGAAGTTTTGAGACATAGGGTAGGTCTTTGTTTAACCGTCAAACTCTTTTCCACCTTAACTGAACCATTTTACATTTCCACCAGCAATGCACGAGGGTTCCATTTTCTCCACGTCCTCACCGACACTTACTTTCTGCGGTTTGTTTTGTTTCGTTTTTTGTTTTTGTTTTGTTTTTAAAGATTTCTGTATTTATTTGAGAGAGACAGTAAGCACACCTGTGTGCGGGAAGGAGCAGAAAGAGTGAGACAAGCGGACTCCCCACTGAGCGGCGAGCCTGATGCAGGGCTCCATTCCAGGACCTGAGCCAAAACTAAGAGTCAGACTCTTAACTGACTGAACCACCCAGGTGCCCTGTTTTTGTTTTTTTTAAATAGCTCCCATGCCCTGTGTGGAGCCCAACGTAGGGCTTGAATTCATGACCCTGAGATCAAGACCTCAGCTGACATTAAGTTGGAGCTTAACAAGCTGAGCCACCCAGGCGCCCATGTTTTGTTTTGTTTTTTTTAATAGCTCTTTTAATGGGTATGCAGTGGTATCTCATTGTGGTTTGATTTGCATTTCCCTGACTAGTGATGTCGAGCAACTTTTTCTGTACTTATTGGTCATTTGTGTATCTTTTTTAGAGAAATGTCTATTCAAGTCCTTTGTGCATATTTGAGTTGAGTTGTTTATCTTTTGTTGAGTTATAGGAGTTCTTTACATATTCTAGATATTAATTTCCTATTAGATAAATAATTTGCACATAGATCCCTCATTCTGTGACTTGTCTCTTCATTCTCTTGATAGTGTGCTTTGATTCACAAGTTTTTAATGTCAGTGAAATCCTAATTTTTTTTCTTTTGTTGCCAGAAAATCCTTGCCAAGTCAGATGTCATATGGCTTTTCTCTTATATTTTCTCCTAATGGTTTTATAGTTTTAGGTCTTACATTTAAGTCTTCCATCCATTTTGAGTTAATTTTTGTATATGGTATACGTTAAGGGTCCAGCTTCATATACATTGTGTAAGTCATTTTAATATGGTCCAGCAGGGTATTCAGAATAATTTGCTTGACTTTACCTGTTCATTAAAAAAAATTCTTCATGAGCACCGGGGTGGCTCAGTCAGTTAAGCGGCTTCCCTCTGCTCGAGTCGTGATCCCAGGGTCCTGGGATTGAGCCCCACATCAGGCTCCTTGCTCAGCAGGGAGCCTGCTTCTCCCTCTGCCCGCCGTTCCCCCTGCTTGTGCTTGTTCTCCCCCCCCCCCATGTGTCAGATTAAAAAAAGAAATCTTTAAAAAAATTACTTATATAACTTGTTATGTGTTAAATAATTTTGTTATTAAAAGGTAGTTACAGGGGGCGCCTAGGTGGCTCAGTTGGTTAAGCGATTGCCTTCAGCTCAGGTCATGATCCTGGAGTCCCTGGATCGAGTCCCGCATCGGGCTCCCTGCTCGGCAGGGAGCCTGCTTCTCCCTCTGACCCTCCCCCCTCTCATGTGCTCTCTCTGTCTCAAATAAATAAATAAAATCTTTAAAAAAAAAAAAAAAGGTAGTTACAGGACGCTGGGTGGCTCAGTCGGTTAAGCATCTGCCTTCAGCTCAGGTCATGATCTCAGGGTCCGGGGATCGAGCTCCACGTTGGGCTCCTTGCTCAGCGGGGAGCCTGTTTCTCCCTCTGCCTGCTGCTCCCCCTGCTTGTGCTCTCTCTCTGACAAATAAATAAATATTAAAAAAAATAAATAAATAAAAGGTAGTTACAAGTTGTCAACACCAAAGCAGATGGAACTACTTTTAAACAGCTACAGAATAAGCATGTCCAAGAATGAATAAGGCCAAGTCTTACAGCCTTATTTTATTTTTATTCTTTTATCTAATTGGGACTCATTTCAAAGTAATTGTGCTATACTTTTGTACCCCCATGTGCCCACCCCTCACCAAAAAAAAAAAAAAGTGCTTAATGCTAATTTCAATAAACTTAAGATTGCCCTGGGGCGAGGAGCCAGGGCCGTGTGGAATATAGTCTGTATGGACTATATAACTGTAGTCATTAGTGCTTAGGTGAGGTTTTTGGTGTATATGAAATGGTGTATGGCATATATTGATTTCCAGAGCAATAGTTACCAATTTCTTTGGTCTCAGGATCACTTTAAAAATTTACTGAGAATCACAGATAGCTTATTTATTTATTTAATTTTTAAGACTTTATTTATTTGACACAGAGCGAGTCCACAAGCAGGGGGAGTGGGAGAGGGAGAAGCAGGCTCCCAGCTGAGCAAGGAGCCCAATGAAGGACTCAATCCTAGGACCCTGGGATCATGACCTGAGCCGAAGGCAGACGCTTAACTGACTGAGCCCACCCAGGCACCCCCTTCCAAAGAACTTTTTTTTTTTTTAAGGTTTTATTTATTCATTTGAGACACAGAGATAGAGAGAGCGAGCATGAGCAGGGGAAGAGGCAGAGGGAGAGGGAGAAGCAGGCTACCCGCTGAGCCAGGACCCTGATGTGGGGCTTGATCCCAGGACCCTGAGATCATTACCTGAGCCGAAGGCAGACGCTTAACCATCTGAGCCACCCAGGTGCCTCCCCAAAGAACTTTTTTTTAAAGAACTTTTGATTATATGTGCAGATGTATCAATATTTATCAAATTAGAAGTGAAAACACATTTTAAAAATATATATTAATTCACCTAAAACAATAACCCATTACATGTTAATATGATACTTTATGAAAATTACTTTCTCAAAGTAGTGAGAAGAATAACATTGCAAATCGCTTAATGAGGGGCGCCTGGGTGGCTCAGTCATTGAGCTTCTGCCTTCGGCTTGGGTCATGGTCCCAGAGTCCTGGGATCAAGCCCCGCATCGGGTTCCCTGCTCGGCGGGGAGCCTGCTTCTCCCTCTTCCACTCCCCCTGCTTGTGTTCCTGCTCTTGCTGTCTCTCTCTCTGTCAAATGAATAAATAAAATCTTAAAAAAAAAAAAAGTTTGGCTTAATGAAAGACAGCTGGATTCTCATAGCTCCTGCATTCAATATATTTCATTATGCTGTTGTTGAAATATATGAAGAAAATGCAGCCTCACAGGTATGTAGATTTATTTTATTATTATTTTTTTAAAGATTTTATTTATTTGACATAGAGCGAGAGCAGGAACACAAGCAGGGGGAGTGGGAGAAGCAGGCTTCCCTCCGAGCAGGGAGCCCGATGCGGGGCTCAATCCCAGGACCCCGGGATCATGACCTGAGCCGAAGGCAGATGCTAACTGACTGAGCCACCCAGGCATCCCGAAAGTTGAAGTTTTTTCATTGGCAGAAAATACTTCAAGGAAAATGACTGGCAGTGATAGGCCCACTTTGTACATATTTTGAGAAAATGTCTGCCTAAAACCCAAGTCTGTATAAGAAGCATAGTTTGTCAGTTAGTCTTTCAAGTAAAGATTGGTGTTCCAGACAAAAAGTGAGTAGTTCAGTTTGCAACTTGAGCAGTTACATATTTTTCTTTGATATAACCAGTGTACTTTGTATGCAAAAGAACTGTTTTATGCATACTTTTTTGTCACACAGAATATTAGTGCACTTGATGGTTGTAATTTAATAAAATGAGTAATTTTTACTCCTTTTTCAAGGGCTTTTTCTTATATGAAAGTGGCAGTTTATTTTTTTTCTGTGAAGTATATGGCAGTAAAAAATATGACTACTTACACAGTTTGGACCTCCCTATCTTGATTCATGTTAAGTCACCAACAGCTTTATCCATTATTTTTTTTTTAACTAATTTTTTAAAATTATTATTAAGATAAAGTGTATTATTTGTTTCAGGGGTACAGGTCTGTGATTCATCAGTCTTACACAATACACAGTGCTCACCACAACACATATCCTCCCCCGTGTCCATCACCCAGCCACCTCATCTCTCCCACCCGCCTCCACTCCAGCAACCCTTGGTTTCCTGAGATTAGTAGTCTCTTACGGTTTGTCTCCCTCTCTGGTTTCATCTTGTTTCATTTTTTCTTCTCTTCCCCTATGATCCTCTGCCTTGTTTC